TATTAAATACAAATTTTAAATTTTATTAAATACAAATAATTTAAATTATGAAAATATTTTTAAACATTATTATCTGTTTAAATTTCCTCAATGAGTTTTTTTTTGCTTTGAGGAGATTTGTTAATATTAGTTGGAAAAATTAACTTCCGTTCTGACGGTTCAATTGGCTGAGGTACAGGACTTTCATCTTTAGCAGCACATAGTGGTTTTGCAATTTTTTCTAAACTCTCAGCTGCTTTCAAATACTTGTTTGGAACAATTTTGTTTGGTTTAATCAACTCAACAAGATCGTAATCTTTACATTTTGATTTGGTTTTTCCACTGGTTTTATCCACATCACTTCTGATATCTTTCTTCAGCTCAGTTGTAGATTTTATGGTAATTGTTGGATGGTTCTGTTTAACATTGTTTGTTGTTGGTTGCGTGATATTTTTTGTTACCTGACAGTCTTGAATTTTGATACGCGTTGTATCGGGTGGTGGAGGTATGTCTGGTAATTGCAGACGTAACTCATTGATAAATTTAAGCGCAGTTTTCTCCTTTGGGTCCACCTCCAAAACTTTTTGAAAGTAGTCGTATGACTGAAATATTAAAATAAATATAATTACTTATTTTAAATAAATGATTTTTTATATGTTATATTAATTTAACAAAATGTTTTTATTTTAATCAATAAATATATCAATAACTAGCGGTCCCGACAGACTTCGTTCTGTCAAAAAGATTTGGAATGTGGCAGTTTTTGTGCCTACCTATTTTATAGTCAGGGCAAAAAAATCTCCTGAACAGAAAAGTCACACTGGTGTGTGGGCTTCAGCTCGGGTGACCAAAGTATCTTCTCTTCCAAGAACTTTGGCCACCCTTCTGGAATCCACTAAAAAACCCTGACTGGGATGTCTGCCAGAGGGTTTCAAACTAAGAGGCGAACTTAGGGACAGTGGAAACCTAAAGGTGACAAATATATAAAAAGTGGGTGACTCGCTTGGATAGTGGAGATTATAATCTGCAAACAAAGTCACGGGGATATAATAAACATACTTACAATAATCAACAACTTATTACAACACACAAACTCATCTATTGTGGTTATGTTCTTGTCTTCTTATATGTAAAAATGAATCGAAAAATGTGTTGGAAAGCGCATAACTCAACAACGCCTGGACCAATTTTTAATTAGCAATAATTCGATTTTTTCTCGCCGTAAAAACCATCCTTGAACTTCAACGAACATTTTAAAAAAAATTGACGAAATTGTCATTAAATTCATTGTAGTGCTTTGTGATAAACGATGTTTTTTGTTTGATTACCTGGCGCATAAACAAACAAATCTGATGGTTTTCCAACACGGGAACAGGCAACATACAATTGACCATGTGAGAAACATGGGTTTTCTAGATCAATACCACTAAAATAATTATGATTAACTGCTATAATACATACCTTGAAAGTTGGCATGAAATTTTTCCGAACCACATTTGTTGCCCCAAATGAAGTAATTTGAAAACAATTGTTATATTGTTGGATATTTGTCAAAAAGTGTATGGAATCTGTTCCTATTCCTGAAACCAATGAGTACAATGGCTCTGGTGGTGGATCCAGTGGTATCAATTTCACTTTGTCATTTGCGCAACACAATCCATTGGTTTCATTTTTGTATTTCAATGCCTTACAATGTGAGCGAACCGAGTTCATTGATCCTATAGCAACACATTGATAGTTGCTATAGTCAATAGACACATCGTAACTGAAAGCAGCTCGATTCAAACTTACGCGATTATGAGCTGAATGTCGCGCTCGCGCTTCACGCGTTTGTTATATCCGTATTCTTTCAAGTTCATTTCGGTTGTCACGTTCTTGTGTAGTATGATTAGACCGAGAATTAGTTTGGTTTGTAGCATTTCGGGTTCTTCTACCTAAATTACTTCGTCTTACAGGAGGCATATCGAATATAAATTGTGTCACATTCACAAAACACGATGTATTTAAATTATTTACAGCTCATATATTAATGACAGTATTTAATTATTATATTTGAAATACTGATGATGTTGCTTAGACAATAGTGAGTGTTTGTAATGTAATATGAACTTTATTGAATAACAATAATTCGATTTTTTCTCGCCATAAAAACCATCCTTGGACTCAACGAACATTTAAAAAAAAAAGAATTGACCAAATTGGTCCAGACATTATTGAGTTATGGGCTTACCAACACATTTTTCGATTCATTTTTATATATAAGATATAAGATAGAACTTCATTGAATAGCAATAATTCGACTTTTTTCTCGCCGTAAAAACCATCCTTGGACTCAACGAACATTTAAAAAAAGAATTGACCAAATTGGTCCTGGCGTTGTTGAATTATGGGCTTACCAACACATTTTTCGATTCATTTTTATATATAAGATATAAGATAGAACTTCATTGAATAGCAATAATTCGATTTTTTTTTTGCCGTAAAAACCATCCTTGGACTTCAACGAACATTTAAAAAAAAGAATTGACCAAATTGGTCCAGGCATTATTGAGTTATGGACTTACCAACACATTTTTCGATTCATTTTTATATATAAGATAAATGAATTTATATATAAGATAAACAAATGAATTTAAACCTTAAAAGACGTACACAATACATGACATACACAAGCAGCCATCAATGAAGAAACCACATGCATTAAGGAAATAGCGAACATCAACGGATACCCTCAGAACACCATCGATAGAATCATAAAAAAGAAACGAAGGCAGTTACATTCAAAACAAAGAAGAATCGCCGTAGTATACAACAACACCAATTCGAAAGCGTATTACCATCCGCAAAAGACTCAATTAACCCATTCGAAAAAAACGGAGTATACAAAATAAAATGTGGCTCCTGCAACAAAATATACATCGGACAAACAAAAAGACCCTTATCAGTAAGACTTTAAGAACACCTAAAAGAAGCAAGAGCAGCACCGAAGAAAATAAACCCCCACATAAAATCAAATGTCGCCACATATAGTAAAGGAAAATCACCTCTTCAACAAGGATTACGCCCAAATAATCAAAAATGTAAGGGATAGCTGAAAATTAGAAACGGCAGAGAACATCGAAATACATAAACATCAGACCACAACTTTACTTAACGGCGATAAGGGCAACGTATCATCGTGGCTTTTTAGATACATCCCAAAAAACCAAAACCAGTCGACCTAACTACCTCTATGTAAAAATAAAACAAAACCAGACCCGCCACCATTTCTTACCTATCACCCCCAAGGACAATAACCCTACCAAAATTAGTATTAAGAAATAACATGTAAATATTTTAAATAGTTTGTAAGATTGCTAGTTGTTTTTAATATTAGGAATTCTCCTGATGAAGGCAAAAGCGAATTTGCTGAAACACGTGTAGAGATACACAACATAAAACTTTCGAAATTAAAGTTAATACATTCTAAAAAACAAAAATAACCGCATTTAAATATTTTCGAAGTAACGACTTAAAAATTAAAACAAAAATAAATACATGATGTATTTTTTTTACATTCTTTAAACTAACATATTCATATACAAAATAAAGTTTTTATTTGCATATACTGTACTATAGACGGTCTACAAAGTAGGCCGAAAGATGTCATTTTAAGTCCGGTAAAAACCAAATTCATTTATGAATAGGTCAAAATAACTTTTATTAATTATGTGGTATAATTAGACCTTTATTAAAAAAGTTGCTCAACTAGTCCTGTTGAAAGACGAAACATTAATATCATCAACGTGGGCTCTAGGCAGAGTCATAGAAATCCATAAAGTAACAGATGGATCAACCCGAGTTGCTACAATTAAAACCCAAAAAGAGGCAGTAAAACGTACGAAAAAAAAAAATATACCTTCTGCCAATCACTGATAATCTCAAAGAAGATCATATTCAATCAAAACCGTTGGTTCTTGCTATATTTTTGGCATATCTCACATCAGAAGCTACATTAGCAACACCCACAATAGCATATCCCGGATAATGATTATTCATTGAAGGATTAGGCAAAGCAAAAATCACATTTCCAATCTGTAGCATAATTCAAGATCAAAAGAACGTTAATAACGCTATAAAACAATTAACAATCTTGTGTACCAAGTCAAAAGCTGCCAATGCGTATATACAATGCAAAGATTTAGTGTGCAATTTAAATCATGAAGGGCGCGTCTTAAGAACTACCATTGATCGTTTATTGACGGTAGTATCATCTGTTACAAGAAGTCAGCGAGGAATATTAGGTACAGTGTTAACAACACTTTTTGGCATAAACGATGAAATGTATCACGACATTGAAACGGTGGATCAAAATCAGAAATTATTAATCCAAAATACTAAATCAAATGCTAGAAATATGATATCCATAATAGCGGCATTAAACAGCACAGAAACTAAAATCATCAACAAAATCAACAGCTTTAGTAAAAAACTGAACGAAGGATTGCAGGCTATCAGTCAGATGCAAGACTGGCATGATATCGGAGAAGGAAATAAACTGGACATATATGTACTTATATAATGGCATATATGTACTTATATAATATAATTACATATATAATGGCATCCAATTACATTCGAGAAGTAGAATCAAAATACAGCAAGATCTTCAATGTATATTTGAAACACAGTCATATTTATGAATTCCTTTCACATGATGAAATCAGCAACATTATAACTCGATGTTCCGCAAAAATTGGACCAGAAATGTATGTCTTACCAATCCCGATGAACAGATTGGAATATGTTCGAGATACTGACAACGTCATAATTTATGGTTAATTCACAATTAGCGATATAGAAGAATATGAAATCATTAGACTCAAAACGCTTCCAGAGAGAATTGACGATAATATAAATCAAGAAATCGAATTATTAATATCCACATTTGGCATCAATTATAACAACAAAAAATATTTTGAAGTAACTATCAGCCAAATGGAGACAACAACCAAACTGAATAATGTTACTAGGTTACTTCACCCAACAATATTTTATAACATTGACGAGAGTTCCAATTGTGTTATTAAGCAATTGTTTAATAAATTAACAGTCAATAACTGTCCGTCAAAAAATTTAAAGTCATACATCCAGTTTGGAAATAGCTTTCTACGCCCAATGCTTATATATTCATTACACCAAATTTAACGACAACTCATGTAACTTGTCATATTGAACGTGAAGAAGTAGTTTTGAACTATACAGGAATCATCCACATCTCTCCAGATTGTATTATACATTCTAAGATTATTGACAGTAGAATGCATAAAATTACAAATGATACCGTTATCCTATTGGTGCAAGGCTTATCAACTATGTTCTCCGCAACATAGTTGATAACATAGTCCGCATAGTCCGCAAGGGTTGCTCAAGACAATATGGACCAAGTTAATGAAATATCTTAGAAAACAATAATAACTCATCAATATTGGATAAAATGGGTTATCTGGGCCACAGCTATAATAACAATCCTATTCGTTGGAATACTATATTATATATATGTTACATTAAACCACAAATACCATCAACAGTAGCCAATGATCGTAGAGCAACATCTACATATGATGTTCTTTGGTCTTGTACATAATCAATAACCCCCTGAGGCTACTAAATTTAAACTAGTTCGTAATACCAACCCAGAGCCGCCATAATGTTGACGAAACAAAAAATTAAGAATTAGGTCATAAGTTAAACGCTCGCACCTAAAGCTTAGTAAGTAATTTGTGCGAATTAAATAATAAATTAATTTAATCAATTATTGTATATCTAGCTATTGTATATCTTTATTTTGTAAAAAAAAAGAAGAAATTATAAATAAAATCAGTTGTTGACTTACAATCAATGCCTCATCAATCATAAATTGTTTTCCCCACTAGTACTAAGGAACATTATAAATTGTTATACTGAACATCATTGTTGAATAGAATAATTGAATTAGTTAATTATATTTTTATTTTTTATTGTTAAATTTAAATACTATTCTTTTGTAAAAACATTATTTATTACATGATTTTATTAATCTTTCTTTTGTATAACATAAAATCTAATACAAAGAAAGTCATGCTAATATTACTCCACGATTCGCTCTAGCGACATCGGAAAGATGAATGAATATTTCTATCCATATTTTATTCCATAATAATTTTATATTAAATTGATTTTTAACTTCCGTTAAAATAACTAAAAAGTTAATAACATTTTAAAACAACTTACTTCACGCTTTTTGCCATAATCAAACATTGCTTGAGCTAGACGAAGACGTGCTTTCAAATTATTTGGTTCCAGTGCTAAGCAAGATTTACAATCTTCTATTGCAGGTAAATACTTTTTCGACTTGATATCTTATATACAAAGAAAATATATTATTTTTTTAATAGAATTTTTAATAGTTTCTCTACTTACAAGATATTGCACGATTGTTGAAAGCTGCTGGATTTTTTTTATAAATTTCCAGAGAGCGAGTGTACTCCACAATTGCGCTATCATAGTCTTTTACTCTAAAACACTCATTTCCACGAAGACGAATTCTTAAAAGAAAAAAAATAATTTGGTTAGAACCAATTTTAAACTTCACATTTAAGTGTCGATTTGACGCTAAAATGACATTTGCAATTATGAAATGAGCACGCTTAAGAATTAAGATTCAAGGGTGCTTAACAATTCTTCACTTTCAATTTAAGCAATAAAACACGTTATTTGTCCAGTTCTGATATGATATAACATTAAGACTGAAAAGTTTTCGGAAATTCTCATTTAAAATTCGCGCGCTGTATATTTTTCGATATTTTAAGTTTATGTAGTTTGGCAGCACTGTCCTTAATTACTATGCCAAAAATGAGCGCGATCTGTCAGACAGTTCGTTTACGGCAGCTGTTGAAACCAGTTCACCTCAGTAGTGCGTTGCGAAATGTCTTCGACGGTCGTACGACCGTCCTGAAAGGCTTTGTACCACCTCATAAACTTGAGTTTTCGATAAAACTGATTCCCCATAAGCCTTTTTGTAGCATTCGCAACGATTCCTGCACACGAAATTTCGTTCGAAACACAAAATTTGATGCAAACTCTTTGTTCAATATTTTTTTCCATTGTTTTTTTCGCAACGCCCTACTGAGGTGAACTGGTTTCAACAGCTGCCGTAAACGAACTGTCTGACAGATCGCGCTCATTTTTTGCATAGTAATTTTCCTTAATTGCTGCCAAACTACATAAACTTAAAATATCGAAAAATATACAGCGCGCGAATTTTAAATGAGAATTTCCGAAAACTTTTCGGTCTTAATGTAATACGGGTATATCAAATTAAAATACCCAGTTACATTTTTACATATTATATTCTATAATATATAATATAATACAATGCAATATTTTTTCACAGAAAACATGCGTATATAATATATATATATCACATGTTGTTTAATATTTGATATTTCTATAAATATCAAAATACTAAATTTTATCAAATGCTAAAAGGTTTTTTTCACTTAAGGAATATTTCAATAAACATCTGTAGTGAAAGTTCAAAGGTATCTATCGAAAGAGCGTTCCGTAAACAAAAAAATCACTATTAGATTTGGCATTTGTTCTGGAAATGTGAATCACGTACTTTTTTAAAACTACCTAGGCTATAATCTTCTGGTTACCAATTTTCCTTGTGTATATTTATATATTCATATATATATATATATATAGCTGTGGATGATAAATATTTTTAATGGGACGACAAAGGACAGAACACACTACATTTTGACTTGGTTGCTTAAAAAATTTGAACATAATTAAAGCATATGGTTTATAACTACTTGACATTTTTTTTCGACACTGAAAATATATATTCGTCAAGTTATGGCTGAAGAATTACTACCAATAAGTCATCAACATGTATCGTGAAGAGCATTTGAATATTGAAATAAATAAAAAAAAAATAAAAAATAAAGTAAAATAAAAATTTAAAATGTTTTGTAACTAAAAACGGATAACCCTATATGTCTTTTTAATTTGTTAAATGAAAATATTCCTGACTTTCTGAAGATAAATGATATGTGAAACTCATCACCGCATATTTTCATAACACTAAATTGTGTGAACCAGAAATTTGATTAGCTAAGAGACAAGCTGTACTTTAATTCAGTACTAAAAAATTTTTTTAAGATTACACCTTAATACTTTACATTGTTTTACAAATTTTAATTTGAATTAATCAATTTTTTTTAAAAAAACCCTAAATGTATTGCACTATAAACTCACTCTTCTGCCACATTTTGCTGTTCTAATTCAGTCAAAGACTCTATAAGCTGTTTCCTTTTATGTTCCACATCCTTAATAGTTGAAAACTTTGTTTCATGATCGCCATAAGTACTCTGATTGTAGCGATTTTTTCGTTCAATTTCTTCCAGATTCCGTTCTTCATCTAAATCCATACGCAGTATTTCTTCTTCTGCATCGAACTTATCCCATTGCGCATAATCTGTAGACTTAATACGCTTTGAATTATTAATGTATTTCAAATTGGTTTCAACATTGTCATTCTTCTCTTGTTTATCAAAAATTTTACCCCCTTTGCGTATAGGAGCAAAAGACAGTTCAAATTTCTTTTCCTCTTTATCGCTGATACTCAGTTCATTTAACATCTGGTCCGTGCTTTTGATGTCCTGATTCCAATTCTAATAAACACAAATGTAATTAAAAATGTAATGTGAAATTAATGACTGAAATACATATATTCGTTTCCATTCATCCAACGGTAATGCACTACGCTCTCGCAACTGCTCCTCGTAATTGAAAAGTTTGCTGTTAGGTTGTAATTCACGCAGTTTTTCTTCAGCAGATTTAGTTAGGTCAGGGTAATATCCTTCTTCGCCTGAGCGTAATATTTGCACAATTTTTTCCATTTCATTGGCATTTGTACATGTTTTTACATATTCAAAGTCCAAGTGGTTAAGTGGAATACCATAACGTTCTAACAATGTCCTTTTATTTTTAGTAGCCATTTCGAAAAAAAAAAACAATTGTGTTTGGTTTGTATTTAATTTTACTTATGTTTTATTTTAAATTCAGAAATGTTTTTTAAATATTTCTATGACTCTCATTTCAAGTCTGATATGATATTAATTTTTCGAGTTTATTGAACAAACAACATTTGAGTGATTTTGAAGAAATTGTTGCTAAGGGCCATGTTATGCAGAGTGTCTCTGGCACGGCAAATTACGCTCTTTCGGGCTATGCCGAAATGCATGTTATGGAGAGTGTAACATCAGTATTGCCAATTTTGTATTTTTACTACTTCTTGGTTGTGCCTAAATTTAAAAAGAAATTTAGATGTACTCGCTTCAATTTGCCAACAAAAATAACTCGTATGAAAAAACTTATAGGGCTGTAATACTGTTAATTTATTATTATATTATATTATAACAATTGTTGACAGTACTTACGCCTTTCATTGAAATCGGAAAGTGTAATAATTATATTATTAGCGATTTATACAAAAATGCTGTGTTGCTTACTGCTGTGTTGCTTACGTTTCTCCTAAACGTATTAGAATTGTAGTAATTTGCTCCTAAAAGGCGCAAATTTTGAAATTTATTACTAAACAACACTGTTTTGCCTTAAGTGGCCCTTAGACAGCAACGCGAGTTGAGAACTCCCTCGCTATCACACATTAGTGCTGTTCATATTCGAATTTACGAAGTATTCGAAGAATTCGAATAGTAAACGAAGTCTTCGAAGTTGAAAAAAACTTTGAAGTTTTTGTGAATTTTTGTTCTCGAAGTCTTCGAAGTTTAAGTGTAGTGAAAAACTTCGAAGACTTCGAAGATTTCGTAAGCAAAAGGTGAAGTGAGAGCGCAAAATGCAAACAAACGTGCATCACACAAATTATTTGAGGGATGAAAGCATTTGCTTCGTTTGTACGGTTTTGTTTTTTTTTTTTGGTATTCTATGCAGAAAATTAAAAACATGTTTTTTTATTAAATATGTATTATAATATATGTATATTATTATTAAATATGTTATTATTAAATATTATTTATATTAAATAAAAAATTTACGTTTTAAATAACTTATATTTATTATTTATATTTAAAAAATTATATTTACAATAAAAAAATCAAAAATTATTTTTTTATTATGCAAAAAATAAATTTGTGCTTACCTGTGTGATCATCACAGCTCATACATGTCTAATAATTATGCATTAATGAGCAAAACTCATTTTTTCATAACTAATTTTCAAGGTTTTAATTTGTGATTTTTTTTAAAAGAAAAATGAAAACTTTTATAAAATTTCCTTTACTAATAAAATCCATCAATATCAATTTTTGCATATTATTACGTATATATTTTATATTATATTAAAAATTTTC